GCCTGACTCTGACCTACGCACTCATCGGACTCTTGGTTACGTCAGCCACCGTGGTGAAGCTTTGGCCCGCCTGCTCGTCGGAGCCAACGCTGACGCTCCTACCCGCGTCCAGTGGTCCAGTGCCGCCATCACTTGCGGCTTCGACGAAGCCAAACAGCGGCAGATCAACGCAGAGTTCGCCTCCAACTTCGCAGACGCCCTCACATCCGCGCAGTGGCTTTAGCCACCGCTGGAGCCCATGGCTCCTCAAGCCCTCGTAGGAGGGCCTCAACGTGGCATTCTGGAACACGCAAGCTCTACTCGGACAATCAGACCAACGCCGTGAAGACAAACGCCGCCTGATCCTGCCATATCTTCGTCAAAGAGCACTAATCGCCTTCCAGGAAACGCACGGCGCGATCGACGACCTTTCCCTCCTGGCCAACTCGACCCAGCACCCGTGCAAGCCGTCCCACCTCCCCGCGATGGCCGACAACATCCCCGTCACCAATGCAGGCGGCGTGGGCTTCTTCGTCCCGCGCGACAAAGGCGAACAACTACTCCCCCCTGCGCTACGTCCTCGCATCAGGTTTGAGGTCGTCATCCATGGCCGTGCCGCCTGGCTTCGGGTCACGGATGCCAGCCTTCAGTTTGAAGTCACCGTCCTCAACATCCACAACTACGGCTTCACCGCAGCAGACCGGCTTTCTCTCCGAGTCCAGTGGCAAGCACTCCGACAACATGCCGACGAACAACCACAACATCGCCTCTTCATGGTCGTGGGCGATTTCAACGTGGCCGAATTCCCACCGAAGTCCCTAAACCCCCTTCCGGCTCTGACACCGCCGCCGCGCAGAGGTATCAATGCCAACCTGTATTCTGGCGATCACTCTTCCGCGACATGATCGAGATCACATCGCCCTCAACTGCCCGTAGAGCTGAAGGGGACATTAGCGAATCCACTATCGACCGATGCTTCATCAACCTCCCCAGCCATCTCATGCCCCTCATGGAGACCATTTACATGGCCGACGACTCCCCGCTCGAGAACCCCCGCGGCCCGATAAGCGACCACAAGGTTATGCGCGCCCGCATCCGCCTCCGCAAGCCCAAGGTCGGCACGGAGCGAGGCATCCCCGCGTGCATCTTTGACACTCCTCACTGTAAGCATCACATCACCAAGGTTCTTGCCAACAGAGACATGACCAACATGACCCCGATTGCAAAATGGCGCACGCTCAAGGCCGCGACGCAGGTCACTGCCGCCCACGCCCGCGACGCGCCGACCAAGCTCCCCGCCGACGAGCTGACTTCGCGGCCTGGACTCGTATCCAAGGAGACCCGCGCCATGATTCTCCGCAGCATCGCACGGGCTATATGGTACCAGAACGTCCCGCTCGCTAACTCGCTTATCGAGCACACCGACATCGGACGCCTTCACCTGAAGGTCATCGGAAACACTGTCAGCGTAAACGACATGCCGACGTTCACCAGGGCTGCAGACATCACGCACGCCAGCCTCAGCAACGAACGCAAAGCCATCGCATCTGCTCGGTCTCGCGCCGCCCTCGCAGCCAGCAACGTCCCACTCGGCCAGAAGTGGCGCCAGCGCGCCAAGCGAGAAGGCTACCGAGGCGAACTATGGAAGCCCTTCTCCAAGCGCCTCGCGCTTACAGGCATCAAGATCATCACCGGCAACTCGTCGAACATCGTCACCGATCCCGCAACCATGCACCAGGCCATCATGCGTCACTGGGCCCCCGTGTTCGCCGAGAAGCATGTTGACGAAACCCTGCTCACAAACTACCTCGACTCGGTTTTCCCACGACGCCCACGAGCTGATCTTCCCATCTTGGACGCTCAGGATCTCAAGAAAGCCGCCCGCCTTGCAGGTGACTCTGCACCAGGCCCAGACGGACTACCTTACCGTGCCTGGCTGCGCACCCCCGACAGCTTCGACATCCTGGCCGACGTCGGCCACGACATCGCCGCCAACAATAACATCCCGCACGACCTCAACTTTTCTTGCATGGCCATGTTGCCGAAAGGTGACGAACCCACGGGTAACGCAGAGTGCGCGCGTGCCCCAGAGTGCTTACGGTCGCTCTCTATGAAGAACACCGAAGTGAAGTTGCTAGCGCCCGCCGCCAACCGACAGCTTCACCCCCTCGCCGCCATGACCTCGCCTGAGCAGCAGGGCTTCGTATCAGGCCGCCAGTTCCTGAACAATGTAGTCACCGTGGACGCAGCTGCTCGCAGACACAGCCTATCCCCCACTGCATCAACTGACCTACCCGTTTTCGTCAGCATGGACATCGCAGCCGCATTCCCCAGCCTTGGCCATCCGTGGTTGTGGGGCGTCATCGAGCGCTGGGGCATCCACGGCCACATGCTGCGCCTGCTCAAAGCCTGCGACTTCTGGCCCGTCTCGTTCCTTGACTTGGGAGGAGAACGTCGCCCCCTGCTGATTGCAGCATCGGGCGTCGCACAAGGCTGCCCTCTGAGCGGCGCCATCTGGGCGCTCGTCTTCGACCCCATCATTATCGCTCTCAGCCGCGAGCTCCGCGGGATCCAGCGCGGACTTGTCAGCGCCTGCGCCGATGACCTCGGCGTCATCCTAGCCAGACTGTCCGACATCTCCCTGCTCGCCCCGCACGTGGTCGCTGCCGAAGTACTTGCAGGCCTCCGACTTCAAGCAAAGAATTGCATCGTCGCCCCTACGTGGGCGCCCCCCACACAAGACATCATCGCCGAGATGCGCCACATCCTCACGAACGCCCACGCCCCGTGGTCCAACTTCAAGATCGAGCCTATGGCACGTGACCTCGGCTTTTTCGTTGGCCCAGGCGCGACGCTTGAGGGCCAGTGGGGCGGGCCCTCTGTCAAGTGGTGGGGCCGCGTTGAGAAGCTCGCAGCCTCGCATGCTTCGCTACAACAATGCATCAAGCTTTACAGCGTCGCCGCTGTCACCTGCCTGGGGTGCGTCGGCCAGCTCTTCGAGCCCCCTGAAGGTATCCTGCAGAAAGAGCTGCAGGCCATCAACAAGTTGCTGCGAGTCGACCCGTCCAGCTTCGCGAAGTCCGATGTTCTGGCGATGACGCCCTGGACAAACGTGGAAGTTCCGATCGGCATTGGGAACTACCTATCCGCCACCCTCTGGCGCACGGCGACCACCACGGTCACAGGCTGGCAACTTGCCCACCGACTACCATGCGACGCAGCCTGCGACCAACTTCCCCTCGTCGCCGCCACGCAAGGAGTCTGGTGCAACGAGAGCTGAAAGATCAAGACCGCCATTGTCCAACGCCTCGAAGGCGCCACGAACGCCACTTTCTTTACGGACGTCAAAGGCTCTCACCTCGAACGCCTCGCGCGCACAGCTGGACCACGACCGCGCGCACGTGCCGCCATGATCGCTTGTCACAAGCGTGCTGCCAGAGCAGGACTACAAGCCCTTCTCCATCGCCAAGTCCTTCAGCCTGCCCCTCATCCCGCTCTGCGCC